ATCGAATGAATAGGCCATTGTATAAAAGCCCAAAAAATATATTTCTAGCTTCATATAGTTTTTGTCTAGCTCAATGGAGAACAAATTGTATATTAAAAGTAATAAACTACACATATTCACCATCTTATGAAAGCTTGTGAATGTTATCAATGGGTTAAGAAGAAGGTGCATATCAAATGAACTATTTGAAGTTAATAAGGATGGACTTGTACCGATGCCTCTATATAGCCCCCGTACACCCCCTTCCTTGTAGACTCTCTCAATCACATTTCTAATTCCGCTGTAAGCAGGATTTGCATTCAACTGTCTCGTCCCATGCTGCAAAGTTCTCCTTGTGTCGACAATCTACGAAACAGTAAAAATAAGAACTGAAATATTATGTCTATACAAAGGTAAATAATAAATGCATTTGTCCAGCCAATATAACTTCTGAAAATAAAACCCAAAAAAAAAAAAAATATCAAAATGGCTAGTACCTGGTAAGCGAGCTTAGTACGAGCTAAATCTAGTGGATAAGTGCATAAAACTGCGGTGCCTCCAGCAGCTGAACCAGCTAAAAGATCCACAATAGGTCCAGTTCCTAAAGCAGAGTGANGATTAAGCTATAGACCACAAGTGTAGTTTTCTAATCAACTCTATTTTATAGAAACAAAAATCTGAAATTGAAATGGTTCGAAACTTACTTATAAAATCCTGCTACACCTTCATGCTTTAGTAGCTTTTTCAGGGAGTGATAAATTCCTAGAGAATGAAAGCCTTGTGTTCTAGTCTAGAAGAGAAAACAAGGGATTGGATTAGAAATGATAATTATTAAAGATAAATAAAAGAGAAAGGACAAGATTTCTGACCAATCTACATACCATGAATGCACTCTACGAGCTTTGATTAGAAAAGCCCCATTAAAAACAGTTTCATGCATTTGCAGAATATGTTCAATCTCAGAGAATGGAGCTACGTTTCAGTAAATAAATTAAGTAAATTTCATTTCTGTTTTTCATGTAAGACACAGAAATACCAGACCCCAACATGAAAATCCCCAAAAAACCAATAAACAAGCTTTAAGGCATCTAAATTTTGAATCTCTAATGCAATTGTCAGCACTACGTACGAACATATCTTGATTATTGTGTGAGAAGGATAGCACCAACACAAACCAAATGCATCCATATAGAGTTAGGCATCACAACATGCAAACACATCTCGTGTTTCTCGTTAGGAAATGAAATAATGCAATTTTTGAATCCCAAAATCAAATTCACACACATAAAGACACGGTCTTTTTCAAGTTTTTAGCATCAGCAAGTCAATTACATTACAACAAACATACAGTTCCAGTTAACCATTTTTACCAACAACCTAAAAACCATACTTTCTGCACTTCAATCAGATAACAACCATTGTAAGTAATTCTCTTTTTCTTTCTCCTTTTTTTTTAGCTGTACTTACCTGCAGAAGTATTTTAATTCGTTCCAAAGGAGCAACCGCAGTTTTAGCAAAACCACCAGCAGCACCGCCAGCAATAAGCTCCTTCACAAAGACAGGAACTTTGCTTTCGACAAATTCAATCTCTGTATGGGCAGAAGATTTATTCGCAAATCCAGACACATTTGATGACAGCGTAGATCCTTGTGAAGAACCCATTTTCCGAAATCCTTCAAAAGCCTTCAAGTTTACTTACCAAAAATCTATTTTTGATTTTCTTTTGCTGGCGCCGTTTTCGAAAAAATCGACAAATGTTTGACTATCCACTCTGCAATATGAAAAATGCCTTATCCCATCTATCCCTTTGGGTAGTAGAGAAAAATATAACTTTCTGCCCAGAAGGCAGAGCCAATGGCCTGAGAACAAACTCTATGTCCACAAGCCGATCCTTTTTGGTAAAAATCAGATACATCAAGTAAAGGACAACGATCAAACACCTCTAGAGCAAACACAAACCCGCCATAGATCACAACAGGGGGATCCACCAAATAAAAGCCAAATTCTTCTGACAAAATCAAAGAATCAGAAGGCTATCAATTGAATAAAAACAAAAAAGTTCAGATCTTTTATTCAAATCTACCCCCCAGATAAAAATCTCGCAAATCAAGCACGGTCCAGATGAGAAACACCCCTAATCTTCTATTCAAATCTACACCCCCAAATCAAAATCTGGCAAATCAAACACGGCCCAGATGAGAAACACCCTTAATCTTTAGAAAGCAGACCAGAAATGACTTAATAACAGCCGAAATCGGAATGGGGCTTTCTCTATTTTGGATCTTAGAACTCTAGGAAAAGCCTCCAATGAAAACGGAGGCTTTTCTCAAAAAACACGAACGGGCTCTAACTTCTTGAATTATTCTTCGAGCTGTAAAATAAATTGATTCCTATTTGTTCTCCTATTTCCTCGGTTCTTGGAAGATGCTGTTGGCGTTGATTGACTAGGAAGTAGGAAGTTTTGGTGGGAAACGAGAAAAAAACTAAAATGGAGAAAGTGACCAGAGACGTGTAGCTAAAAGCGAGTCCATTAGAACCGGCTAAGCAAGATGAAGACACATGAGGGCGTGCTTGTTTATGAAGTGCGTATATTATGATTGTTTTATAAAATTAAATATATAAATAATATTAATTATGATTTATTTATTATTTTTAAATTAAATCGAGTTGGACACAGTTCGATTGGATGGACCGAGAATCGGTTTATAATCAGTCTAATTCGCTTGAATAAAATATTTGCTCTCGAATCCGTCAACACCAGTCGGTTGGACTGGTAGTATCGATACGATTTTCTAAATAAATTTTGTTACATTTAAAATTATTTTTAATAAAATTACATATTTAAATAAAATAGAGATTTAAAAAATTATTTATCAATTAGTTTAAACATTTAAATTTATAAATTATTTAGATATCTAAGTAACATATTTTATATATATGTATCTATTAAAATGTTTATAAATTAAAATCTGAACAAACCACAAATGATTTAATAAAATAGCTTGATCATTTCGATGAAGGTCCAGTTCTGAAAACCTTATATTTACTGTACATTAATAAATATTATAATAAAAATATTATTTAATTTACATAAATATTAATAAAATGATATATAACTATTCATAAATCATTAAAGATGTTGTCATAAAAGTATTGTTAATACGATTGTGTGAATTTTGGACTATATCGCATTCACGTAATAAAATATTTTCAATATAAAATTTATATTTCAGTTCAATAATCAATTTGGTGTAGTTGAACTGATACATAACTTAGTCATCTGGGACCAAACAGGTTGTGTCAATTTTTTTGACTATTTTTAATATCACCTGAAGTAATTCAATCAACATAGGCAGTACCCTTATTCAATCACGCGATTGATCCAAAGAAAATTTTTTATTTTCTTTAAATATATTTAATTTTATGAAATAAAAATATTTTATGATTCATATGAAAAATAAACATAGTAATGCAATTTAAAGAATATTTTTAGCGTTCAATATTTTTTTAAAGGCATAAATATAAAGACCGAGATTCTAAAACTTTTGTTATATCTTGAATTGAGATTAAGAATAGCTACCTCGGAGATAGGTAAACTTATCAACAGACTCTCTATAATGTTGTTCGTTGTTTCTAAGAAATAAATAAAAATAAAAACATACACACTTAATAAAAACATACACACTTAATAAAAATAATAAAATTAACTAATACCCGAAATTTAAGGTAGCATTTAATGTTGTATGATTTTTAAAGAAGAAAATAAGAAAATAATAAACTTACTATTTATAGCCTGCATTAAATTCTAACCTATTTTTTTGCTACTATTTTTGGTAAATGGTAATTCTTATTATATATATATAAATATAAATTTTATTCAAAATGAGTTATTTTAGTTAACTAGAGTTAATTTTGAAAAAAGTAGTATGGTTAATTGTTAGTGGGATTTTAAGAATGTATTAAAATAATATTTAAAATAAAATGATTAAAATTGATTTGATGTAAAAGTAGGAGATAAATTATTGGAAATGATTAGAAATGATAGGTATTTAAAATTAGAGCATCTCCAATGCTCCACTTTGAACATTAATTAAATTTGAATACATGTCAAATGATGAATGAAATGTAAATCCATGTAATATGAATGTCAAAAGAGAAGACTTTAACTTGGAATGCACATCTCCATTGCATCCCTTTCAAAAGCTTAAAATAGGTTAGATTTTTGATGAGTTGACTTTCAAACACTCTTTGGAAAACTAGAAAGTGAGCTTCACACTTTGGATGTTTATTGTCTCCATGTCAGCATAAAAGAGTACATAACATTATAGATTGGTGATTAATTTTTGTTTTCACTTTATAACTTGATGATGTGGCTAACATTTTATTACGTCAACATCTCACATTGGAGATGCTCTTATGTGAGTGGATGAATAGTGAATTAAAGTTGATGTGATGTGTAAAAATGATTGGTTTGTATTATTTAATTATATGAATAATATTAAAAATAGTAGGGTTGGGTTAAAATTGAATTAGATTTTGAGTATGAATAGAAAGTGGGTGAAATAATTTATAAACAAGCATGCCCTGAGTATTCCCGTGGAGTTGAAAGGGATTTTGATTTTGAAATTTGGGTAATTTGTGTGAACATTTTTTGTTGGCTTCTAAAAAAGGAAAATGCTAAGGTCGGTACTGTCAGCGTTTTTTACCATTGAATAAGAAAAGTATGTTATGTTGTGTGGATAATCTACGGTAATAAATCATGACAGAACCATCCCCTAAAAAACCCTCTCATACATATAAAAAAATACAAAGCTTTATAAGAGATATGCCTATTTTTATTTTTTTTAGAATTAGTATACAATGTATTTACTACACTATAAATTAGATTATAACTTCTTTAGTTATTTTGTAAGTTATAAATTCATATATTTTCCAATTTAAATGTCAAGTTTGTGGTGTTTGTAATTTTATATTGTTGGTGTCTAGCAGTTCCATTTTGAAGTTTTTTAGTTTTATTCAATATATATATATATATGATTTTTTATTATAAATATTATAGTATTATAAATATATTATAAATATTACAGTGTTATAAATATAGTTTATTGTTATTTTAACTAAAACAAAAAAAAATTGGAAAGTATTCAAATAAATAAATAAATAAACTTATTTTTAAAAAAGAACTAATATAAAATTTCTAATTAGCACTCCTAAGCCCATTATGTGCAAATGAAGGACCAAGCAAATAATATGTTCGCCAATGGGCTTGAAAAATAAGAGTTACATTCACATTACATATTTTTTGTTTTCAAAAGATTGGTGACTAAAATATGATCTATAGACTATAGACTATAGTACTCGAGGTTCCACCTTATATATGTATTAGTAGATTAATAAGATTTTTTTCCCAAAGGAACATGATATATAATTTATCTTACATTCTAAGTGCTATGCAATTTTGATTATACTTTTATAGTCATTGTGATATTACAAAGATCCTTAAACTCTTTATTTGCTTTCTTAATTAGGATTAGTAGTAAATTCTTTTGTGGTTGTTCCTTAAAGTTTTTGTCGCAAGAACTAACACGACTCGAAGCACACAAGACACTACCTTTAACCAGATAATATTCACCTCCTTTCAAGTAACTCTTCGCATTTCCAATAAAGTTTATCGCTTTATCCTATGATGCCACACATCTTTGCAATCCATGTCGCATTTCAGTGCTCGGATTTTGCAAGTCATGGTAATTAGTTTCAATCTTCTTTCGCGTTTCGCTTGCATGAGACTCGGCCAAAGTCAATGGCCTTATTGCTGGCGTTGAAAAGGCAGTCTTGGCGAGAGGAAACCCGATCAAATGTTTCAGAATATCAAAACACATGGAAGAATTTGACGTTCTAAGGCAAATAATTCTAAGAGTTTCTTTTGACACATGATTACCTTTTGTCTGGTTCAGTTTATGCTACTCGGGTAGACGACAGTCATTCTCAATATAACTATTGTTGAAATCAGCGTAAGATAATAAAAGTAAACAAAAAATTATGAAAGTAAGAAAATTAAATTTCATCTCTTTCTCCTAGTTTCTCGCTCTTATCTCTCAAACGCTAATTGTAATGTCTTCAAAGTAATATGTTTTACTTATACTATCATAATCAAATGTCATAAGTTTTATTCTTATAACTTGGGTATGAAATAGAGAAAAGATGAAATATGCTGGTTACAAAGAACATGTATCACTAATTTATTATCAATTTACTTTTATTTTTTAAGTGAAGAAACAAGGAACTATATAAAATTTGCCACAATTAAGAATTCAATAACATTGTATATTACTACAATACTCTCAATCCAAACCAAATAAAAGTCAAATGTGGAGCAAAGGACCTCAATTACAATACTAGGTTTCATTTATTAATAACTAATACACACGATTTGATACAAAACTAATTAAAAGGGAGCCAACTGTTGGTTCCCTAGCCAACTGCTCCGTAACGGAGCCAACTGTTGGCTCCTTAGTATTTTTCAAAAGGTATAATGTATAGCTTCAACTATATTAATTACATTAGTTGGCCTTAATCATAGTACCAGTCTTTTGTTTGTATATTGCCATACACTTTTAGTACTTTTTTTTTTGTTTTCTGTTTTTGGATATGTTGAGTATCTTAACATGTAATGAATCATATGGTACGTCTCTCTTGAATGATTGATGAGTTATTGAGACAAGTATCAACTGCAGATAAGATAAGGATTTAATTTATAATATATTATTTGTTGGGATGAATAGAGAAAAAAAAAATTGCATTTACTATCTTTATGTATGAATCTGTATGCATGAGATGATTGTTATAAGGATATTTACGAATATTAAAAAAATAACATATAAATATAAATAAAAGAAAAAAACAATGAGAATACGAAATTGAGTTATTGTATGCCCTTCTTAAAGCTAAATCGTTCCATAATTTCTTAATAGTTTACGTTAACGTATCCTCTATACAACGACTTTTGATTTATGTAAAAATACATAAGTTTTTGACCGACGCTACTTTTGTTTTGGTATTCATTGATGATTAAACAACACAAGGACACAAACTTATGAATATGAACTTGTATGAAAAAAAAGTTTTTAAAATTCAAGTAAAAAATCTATAGTAATATAAAGAAGTTGTTGGAAAAATACTTTTATAGTAAGTTTGACTAAAAAAAATAAATAGTTTGACTTACTATTAGTGGAAATTTCGAAAAAACATATGTACCAAAAAAATTGAGATTTTTATGGTAACAAATTTGGAGATTTTTATGGTAACAAATTTAATTGAGATATCCCAAAAAAATTAGAGATTTTTATGGTAACAAATTTAGAGATTCCTATACCAAAATTTAATTCATTTTAAATTTTAATTCATAGGAATCTACTTTTATTGGTAACAAATTTGAAGATTGTTATGCCAAAAAATTGAGATTTTGAATTGAGATATTCCAACAATTACGAATTTTTTCCCATTCAAATTAATGTTGTAAATCAAACAATATATTATTCAAAAATAATAGATGTTATACCAACTATTGATAAACTCCAATCCCATATGAGATTTCTATAGGATTCTTATGTTAACAAATTGGAGATTCTTATGCCAAAATTGAGATTTTGAATTGAGATATCCTATCAATTTTGAATTTTTCCCTTCAAATTCATGTTGTAAATCAAACAAAAAATTATTCCTTGAATAATGGATGCTATACTAAATATTGATAAACTCCAATCCATAGGAGATTTTTATGGGTTTCTTATGGTAACAAATTGAAGATTCTTATGGTAACAAATTTGGAATTCTTATACCAAAATTTAATTCATTTTAAATATTAATCCCATAGGAATCTATTTTTATTGGTAACAAATTTGAAGATTATTATGCTAAAAAATTGAGATTTTGAATTGAGATATCTCAACAATTACGGATATTTTTTTCATTCAAAATTAATGTTGTAAATCAAACAAGAAATTATTCCGAGATAATGGAATGTATACTAAATTAATATCACTGAGCCCACACGTTAATATGATATTAATTAGATAGATAAATTACGTAAATCTTTCCTAACAAAATGCGTTCCAATATTGTTAACCAATTTAATGGGATTTTGTTAACTAATTTGATAGGATTTTGGTAACCACGGGATTTTGTTAGCTTTTCTTGGAAACACGTATCTTCATTATTGATAAGGTTTGATAATTTTTTGTTTCTATTTTTTTTTTCCTCTCTCGAAAATTTGATAAGGTTTGATAAGATTTTGTTTCTTTTTTTTTCTCTCTCTCAAAAATTTGAGTTGTGGATTTGAAAAAAAAATAAAAAAATAAAATAAACATATCATATTGATAAAGTTTTAGTGTAGGCATAAAAATCAATTTTTATTTGATTGAACTTTGTTTCATATAAACCTAAGAGAATCAGACGTTTCATATGGCACATACACATGACTATATAAACATCACCAACGTTGAACAAAAAGTATTCGACATCCAATATATCCCACAAAATAATTTTTTCTACAAGCTACATCACCATTGAAAATGGCTTCGGATTTTGGAGTAATCAAGGATATCAAAAGATCCAATAAGTCACCAATCAAGCTACGCATAATTAGGATGTTCCAACGAGTTGAAGACGTACGCAATTACCGAAATGTTCTTGAGATTATCTTTCATGATTTTGAGGTAATATATTCTTTTAGTATCATTTAAATGCATCATTTTATGCAACGTCTTTTATAATTTATTTATTGAATTATTCATTATGAATGTTTTAGGGAGGACGAATTACTGGCATAATTCGACCTGTCAATATCCAAAAAATCATCGGTGATATTAAAGAAGGTGGCGCTTATATCTTGACAAACCATCAAGTGGAAAGCAATATTGGCATCCATAAATCGACGATAGGAAAAAGAAGGATTATTATCAATGGTCAAACCAAGATTATCAAATGGAGGGGTGATTTATCAAATGGAGGGTGATTTTCCTATTTCTAACTTTAATGGATGTTCGTAACATTGATGAAGTAATGTTGTTTGGTATGTTATAATTTTTTTATTTATTTCTTATTTCGATTTTTTTTAATTTAATATCTGTAATAAACTATTTTATATGTTATACATTTCAATATGATGCATTTTCTTATATTTTTGTAGATGTTATTGGATTGATTGTTTCTCATTATGTTTTCTTACGCCATGACTATAATTAAAAGTCAATGTGAGCTTACGAAACCAGTATTTAGTCATGGCCAATCATATGTTGTTGTCTCCCGTGTCACAAACAGAAATAGGTTTGAAAGTCCTAATTTGTGGTGCCGATGACGTGCCAAAGAATCAAACCATGCACGTTGTATATAAGGAAGTGTTCAATAATATATAGATTTTATTATCATTGTATTTATTAATTTATTTATTATTAATGGCATGATCTTTCCTTTAGTAAGTACTTTGAATTTTAACTGAATATTGCTTTATAAAAGGGACGGAGATAATAAACTTCCGTGCATCGCACGGGGACTGTACTAGTTGATATAATATCACTGAGTTATTTAACGTATACGAATATGAAATATCATTAGGGACCTTACGTGTCTAAAAACACTTTTCGGAACATCGTTCGCGGCAATAGGGTCAGTGCCCATAGGTATTCAACACCATTCAATTTACTTATCATTATCATTTTTCAATTCTAACCAACTTTTAAGCTATTTAAACTAAAATTTGATTTCTGAAATTCATCTTTTTCTACACGTTCAACATAAAATTATTAATTTCAATTTCATCTTCAAGTATATTTAATATTTTTGGTTATTTATTCTATTTGTAAAAAAATGAAACTGCATGAAATTACACAATATATTGGATGGGATCAGATGCGTTTGTTAAGAAAAAGATATCATCTGAAAGTTGACCCACACGATGATAACATGTTAATTTTGGCTTGTTTCAGAAATTAAATTTATCAATATCCCAAAATTCAGTCCTTTGAAATTTGTGCTGAATTTTATCACCCCACTTTCTTATTCATTTTTGTCAGAGATTCTGAGAGAAATTCAACTTGAGTAGGCAAATTGGTCAAATTGTATGAGAAAAAAATGCTTTATATTATTACTTAAACTATCCAGATAGGATAAAAAAACAGTGCAAATTTTGAAAAATTATGAAGAGGCAAAAGGAGATTAAAGCCATCACGCTTCAAGAGCCCTCGGATGGGCCGACCTTTTATTTATTTTATTAATATTTAAATATTTTGATGGTAACATTAGAGAAAGTATAAACGACAAAGCATAGGCATCATTTTTTTTTTTTTCTTTAATCAAATCATTAGTTACCATCGACAGTCTGATAGCTCGTTCATCATTCATCAATCAAGAGTTGCAAGATTTCTCCCTTTCTCTTTTATCCTTTCAATTAGTTCACTCATTTTGTATTATAAAGTTTATCAACACAGAGAGAGAAGTGAGCGAGCTTGTTTCTCGCGCTTTCTTTCTTCTTTTTTGCTTCATATTGGTGTATTAAGTTCGGACTTTCAAGTATTCGTGAAAAGGATAGTTTTTTTTGGGTCCCAAATGGCAAGCAACTCAAAGGCCGATAGCAAATTCAAGAGAATCTGTGTATTCTGTGGGAGTAATCAGGGTTACAGAAAAATCTTCAGCGATGCTGCTATTGATTTGGGAAATGAACTGGTTTGTTTCTCTTTTCAGCTTTATCTGGAAAGTAATCGAGTCTTGCGTTATCTAGCTTTGAAAATTGCGACTGTATCGATTACCATTAATAGTCTTTTTCAGCTTTTGATAGATTTATTGGGCTAAAATATTTGTTTATACTGTTCTATGGGAGTTTTCATGACATGTACATACTTTGTGATGATGCTAATTTGCAGGTGAATAGAAATATAAGTTTGATTTATGGTGGTGGAAGTGTTGGGCTGATGGGTTTATTGTCCCAAAGAGTTTATGATGGTGGTTGCCATGTTCTTGGGTAAGAGTTATGGAGAGAAAAAAAAACAAAAACAAAAACAAAAGATTGAATTTGGAATCATTATTTTGATCAATAGTTTGCTCTATTGGCTTGATATCATGGTTTTAACTTGATCACTGTTTTGCCTTTACAAATGCAGAGTAATCCCTAGAGCTCTAGTCCCCATTGAGGTACAGTGTCGTTATTTCCTACTTTGCGACGTCTTTTCACTATTTCGTTTGTGATCGACATTAAAGCCGATCTTAAATCCTCGATATCCAAATTTCCCATTTGTGTGTCAAACTAGAGAACATCTAGCTAGAATTAGTAAAATTTGAATCTTGATTGTGGAGATTGTAAAAAATTTGATGGAATTGGCTTAGATCTTGCTGTTTTATATAGAGTTTTTCGGTCAGCGTTTTTATTTGTGGATATTATTCATGGGAATCTACTAAAATTATCGCGAAAAATTATGTTTTTTTGCTCGACTTGTTGGAAGATTAGTTATGTTATATGAAGTAATATGGATGTAAGTATATATTGGTAGATATCAGGAGAAACTGTTGGGGAAGTCAGAGTTGTTTCTGACATGCACGAGCGCAAAGCTGAAATGGCTCGGGAAGCTGAAGCATTTATTGCTCTTCCTGGTAAAAACAAGTCCTAGTTAAAATCTTATTTCTTTTGTTTTTTCTTCACTGT